ACCGCTCTTAAAGGAACCGCGACGGGTTCACGAATCGTCAGTGCCTTAATCAACGCGCTTGCACGGGTAAGTCCAGGCGGCAGACTCGCCCGGAAAAAACCCTCCGGGGTCCTGAGCGGGCCCACTCCCTGAAGCCCGAGGCCTGGAGTCCCAGCTCCTCCCTGGCGAGGACTGCCAGAGTCAGTCAATTGAACGCCCAGCTAACTTGAAAAATAACTCTAAATGCTGAAAATGTTTGATTTATTGAAAAAAGCTGAATACAGGCGATTTGGGGCGTGCTGACGAAGTCGATAGAGGACTGTAACTATATGTACAGGATGCCTGACAACCCTACCCTTGTCCCATGGGAAGAGGGAAAGTTTTGGAGGGCCTTCGCTTCTCTAGGCCTCAGTTTCCTCATCTGTAAAATTAAGACAGTCATCATATGTAAAGTTCGGGGCACACAGCAGGCGCTCTCAGCAAACATGAACTGCTGTTCTTTTTGTTCTCCCTCAAATAACACAGTTCTGCTGCCTCCCTGGACCTGTCTTTACTTCCTGCCCTTGCTGCCTCCTCCCCGCCACCCTCAGGGACTGACTGACTTGATCATGTCCAGTCCTGGCCTGAGAGCAGGAGAGAAACAGCACAGACCAGGATCATATATTCCTTCTGTAGCCTCTCACTAAGCGCCTACTGTGTGCCAGGTGCTGTTCCTGAATCAATCAAACAAATAAGATGAATTCTCGAATTGATTCCTGCTAGGAAGACTATTAGCCATGGCAGAGGGGTAGAAAGACTAGGAGTGTGATTTAGGAAGGATGGTCAGGGAAAGCTTCTCTGAGGAGCAGAGACCTGAAGGAAGTGAGAGAGGGAGCCATGTGGATACCTGGGGGAAGGGTGTCCCAGGCAGAGGGAACAGTGAGTACAAAGGTCCTGAAATGGGACCGTCCTGAGCATGTTCAAATGGGGAACAGGCCGGTGGGGCTGGCATCGAGTGAGCAAGTGGAAAAATAGTAGGAAACAAGGTCGGAGAATATTAGCAAAGCCAGGTTGCTTAGGGCCTGTGGATCAGGGGAAAGACTTTGCTTTCAAGATGTGGCGAAAGGCAGATACCTGATGACATCTGATATCAGCTGAGCCCCTGCATACAACTGTATCTGATGCTACCTTAATTCCTCCAGCAGGCAAAGCAAGGTAGAATTTCCCCAAATCTAGATGCTTGCCGCATAACGAAAATGCTAGGCTTATGGGCATTTGGGCCTTGGCATGGGGGAAATTTCCCAGAAGTCTATGAGACTCGGCTCTCAGATCCCTGTACACGGGAGTCAAGGGTTGACATGGGTGAAAGAGGCAAAAGTTGGAGAGCATGGGCCTAGCATCCTTTTTTTTGAGTCATTTTTTCAATTGAGGTGAAATTCACATAAAAATTTAACCATTTTAAAGTGAACATAATGTAAAACGTGGTGACTATAGTTGGTAACACTGTTGAATAATTGAAATTTGCTGAGAGTGGAATTTAATGTTCTCTGACACACACGTACAAATTTACATGCACTATAAATATATGAGGTGATGAATGTGTTAATTAACTAGATAGAGGACTCTTCACAATGTATACATATTTCAAATCATCACGATGTGCACTTTTAGTATCTTACAATTTTATTTGTCAATTTTACCTCAATAAAGCTGACAATAAATAAAAGAAAAAAAGATACAGCTACCACATTTAAGAAGTCACCGGCCAAAAACAATTCAGGATGGTCAGTAATACATTTACTAAGTTGTGAAACTAGCCCCTCTATCTAGTTCCAAAACATTTCTATCACTCTAAAGTAAAACCCATTGGCGGTCACTCCCCATTGTCCCCTCCCTCAGCCCCCAGCAACTACTAATCTTCGTCCGTGGATTTACCTGTTCTGGACATTTCATACAGTATGTGGCCTTTCATGACTGCCTCCTCTCACTCAGCAGCATGTTTCTGGGGTTCGTCCATGTAACAACACATATGGCTGAGCAATGTTCCATCGTGTGGATAGGCCACGTTTTACATCCTGCCTCTCCTTTCATCCACCGATGAACATTAGGTTGTTTCCACCTTTAAGTGACTGTGAATAGCCAGGCATCTTTGTGGCTAGAAGAGGGACAGCGATTCAGAAGGACTGGAAAGGGGAATTTAAGAACCAGAAGTGGGTGTGGCTGCCATTACCAGGTCCTGATGATCTTACCTCCAGACCGTGTCTCGAGTTTGTCACTTCTCCATCTCTGCCACTTCTCCTTCCCAGGCCACTGTCCTCCCCAGCCAGGTGGGCTGCAGGAACCTTCTCTCAGGTCTTCGTTCTGTCTCTCTGGCCCCTGAATCCATTCTCTACTGAGGGATCCTAGTAAAACTTAAGTCAAGTCAAGTCAAGTCAAGGCATTCTCTTGCTCAAAGCCTTTCCGTGGCTCCCCACTGCCTCAGGAGCAAATCCAGACTCCTCCCTATGAGTGACAAGGCCTTATGGGTCCTGGCTCCTGCCCACCCCTCCAGCCTCTTCACACAGTTTCCTACCCCTCACTCTCTCAGCTCCAGCCACCTGACTTCCCTCTGTTGCTAGAATAAACCAGGCTCTGAACCTTTGCATGTGCTGGTTCCTTCCAGGACTCATCCTTCAAGCTCTCACTCAGCGGTCACCTCATCCAGGAAGGCATACGACCCCCAGCCCTACCCTGCTGAGTCTAATGCTTTGTTTCCTCCAATCAGTCACTCTTTCAACCAATATTTAGTGAGCACTACTGTGTCCCAGACACCTGGATACAAAGTTTAAAAGACTGGTAAGTACATGCGTGTTCATAGCAGCACGATTTACCATAGCCAAAAGGTAGAAACCACCCAGATCTCCATCAATGAGATAAATGGGCACATTCAATATGGTCCATCCATATAATGGACTATTTATTACTCAGTCATAAAAAGGAGTGAAGTACTGATACCTGCTACAATGTAGATAAATCTCAAAAAAACATGCTAAGTGAGAGAAGCCAGGCACAAAGGGCCACACGTTGTCCAGAATAGAGAAATCCATAGAGACGGAAAGCAGGGGATCAGTGGTGGCCCGGCGCTGGGGGGAGGGGAGAATGGGGAGTGACTGCGGAATGGGTGGGGGGGCTTTACTTCTGGGTGATGAGAATGTTTTGGCACTAGACAGAGGCGGTGGTTGCACAGCACTGCGAATTCACTTTAAAATGCTCGGTTCTGTGTCATGTGAATTTCGCCTCGATAAGTTATTATTTTTTTTAAATGATAGACAAGTGTTCCTGCCCTCCCTGACCAGAGGGAAACAATGAGGAAGCGACATTCATGCCGTACATGAGAGGACAGGACGTTAGGAGCCAAGGAAAAAAATAAAGCAGGGGAAGAGCATAGCGACTGTGAACGAGGATGGCGGAGTCGCCATTTTCCTAGGAGGGAGCTTTTGAATAAAGAACCGAAGAGAATAAGGGCACAGATATGCAGAGGGAAGG